GAAGACTCTTGGTAAAGATGTCGACAACCTGGAGATTGGTGGAGACATACTTGGTGTGAAGTTTACCAGAAGCAACAAGTTCTCGAACAAAGTGGTAGTCTAAATCAATGTGTCTTGCACGCTTATGAGAGACCGGATTTTGAGTCAGAAAAAGTGCACTTTTATTGTCACACAATAAAGTGGGAATGCCCGGAGGTATGGTATGAAGCTCACGCAAAAGATGTGTAATCCATACGATTTCTGCAGCAGCGTTGGCAATAGCTCTATAATCAGACTCACAGCTAGACCTAGAGATAGTTGGTTGCTTCTTAGCACTCCATGAGATCAAATTTCCACCAAGAAAAATAGAATAACCACAAGTAGACCGTCTTGTTTCAATGCATCGAGCCCAATCAGCATCCGGGTAGCGTAAGATGTGATTGGAATACGGACGTTTAAATGCGAGCCCAAAGGAAAGTGGGCCTTTAACATAGCGTAAGATACACTTGACTAACTAAAAATGATCATTAGTAGGAGCATGTAGATATTGACTTGTCTGGTTGACTGCATATGAAAGATCGGGTCTAGTGATGGTCAAATATTGAAGAGCACCCACCAAAAATCGATAGAGAGTCGGATCGGAGAAAGGCACACCTTGAGATTGAAAAATCCCATGCATAGGCAATGGAGTAGAAACAGGTTTTGAGTCAAGTAAGTCAGCCCTTGTGAGGATATATTTGGCATATTTAGCTTGACTAAGAAAGAGCCCATCAGAAGTATACAAAACTTCTAAGCCCAGAAAATTATTTAGATCACCCAAATATTTAATAGCAAATGCCTGATGAAGACAAGCAATAAAGGAGGAGATGATTGATTCATTGTTTCCTGTGAGAATCAAGTCATCAATGTAAACTAGCAAGTATAAAATACACGAATCACGAGCAAAAATAAACAAGGACGTATCTGCTCAGCTACAGACAAATCCATTTGATAGTAGAAAGGAGCTTAGATGATGAAACCAAGCCCGTGGAGCTTGTTTTAGGCCATAAAGAGCTTTGGATAATTTGCAAACATGTTTTGGGAATTTAGGATCTACAAACCCAGGTGGTTGTTCCATATAATCAGTCTCAATTAATCGTCCATGTAAAAAGGAATTTTTAACATCTAATTGGTGTAAATGCCATTTATGTAGGACGACAAGAGAGAGTACAATACGCACAGTTGAGGCTTTGACAACGAAGCTGAAGGTATGAGAGTAGTCTATTCCAGGAACTTGAATAAAACCATGTGCAACCAGACATGCTTTAAATCGTTCAATAGTACCATCAACTTTGTATTTTGTGCGATACACCCATTTAGAACCAACAACATTTGCATTGGGAGGTCTCGGGACTAAACACCAAGTATTATTTTGTTTTAAAGCATCCATCTCATTAGTCATTGCAAGCATCCTATAAGGATTTTTGGCATTTGCTTTAAAGCCTCTAGGTACATGATCAACTAACAAGGAGGCATAAAGAGTGTGCATAGCAAGGGTAGCGAAATCTAGTAGATGACGATCTTTGAAAATACCTGATTTCGAGCGTGTTATCATGGGATGTGATGAAACTGGTTCAGGTAGTGAAGGAGCGTTCTCTTCAACATCAGATGGTAAATCATCATGAAGTGATGAAGCCGAAGATGGACCTGGTTCAGGTGTAGAGATGGGCATGGATGATAAATCAGGATGGTAGAGGCTGCATGGAGTAGTGAGCTGAACTGTTGCGACAGTAGGAGAAGGGCCAACATCAGTAAGTGTGTTCGATGAAGATGAAGGCCCATCGGGAGGCGATGATGATGCAGTGACAATACGATCTTCAAAAAAAGTATGAACATCAAGTTTTGTTAAATCTTGATGAGTTATTTTGCTTGCAAAGGGAAAGAAGTTTCATCAAATCGAGCATGTCTTATGATGTAAATGTGAGAAGTCATCAAGTCAAGACATTTATACCCTCTTTATTGAGTATGATAACCAATAAAAATACATGGTATGCTTCTTGGTGCAAGTTTGTAAGTTGAATAATCCTAAAGATAGATATACTTGACAACCAAAAGTTCGATGATTACCATAATTAGGAGGTCTTGAGTAAAGCAGCTCAAAAGGTGAGCAATGGTCGAGAACTTTGGTAGGCAAATGATTTATAATGAATGTTGCAGAACTAAAGGCATCCACCCAGAAAGATGTAGGTACATGAGAATGATATAACATTGTAAGACCTGTTTCCACAATATGCTTGTGTTTGCGTTCAACTCTCCCATTTTGTTGGGGGTGTATGTGGACAAGAAAGGCGGTGAAAAGTGTCATTATCCTCAAAGTTTTGACGAACCGTGTGGGTAACGAACTTTGTACCTCCATCACTTTGAAAGACTTTAATCTTTCGAGAAAACTGTGTTTGAACTAGCTTGATAAAGGTAACAAGAACTGGGTAAAAGCCATATTTGGTCTTTAAAGCATAAAACCATGTAAAACGTGAGTAGTCATCCACAAAAACAACATAGTAAAGATAGCCACCAGAAATAACAGGAGCAGGGCCCCACAAATCACAGTGAATTAAATCAAATGGATGTAAAGATCATTTAGGATTAAGCGAAAAGGATAATCGTTGTCCCTTAGAGAGTTGGAAAGGTTTGCAAATAATTGGTTTTGGAAGCAAAGAAGTAACATATAAAAGACCCAACTTATGTAAACTAGAAATAACTTCAAAAGAAATATGTCCTAAACGAGCATGCCAAAGCTCAAAAGAGGCTTTTCTTGAAGATCCAATAGCTGCAGTCAAAGTTGTGCGTTCATTCTTGAGTATGTATAATCCATCTTCACACAGACCGTGTGCTATCACTTGTTTGGTTACCCTGTCCTGAATAGTAAAAAATGGTTGAGAAAATAAGAGATCCACCGGTTGATCCTTTGTAAGTTGGCTAATAGAAAAAAGATTTTTTGTTAAATGTGGAATGACCAAAACATAACGTAGTAACAGCTTATTAGGGAGAATGGATTGATCAATATGAGAAACAAGAAACTTATGACCATTACCAAAGGTGACATGCATATTACCCGTATTTGGAGTTGTGTGAGACACATTATTTGGTGTGGAAGTCATGTGAGAAGTAGCACCAGAATCGACATACCAGTCCGGATTTCCTTTAGTGACATGACACTAAGAGTGAAAAGACTGAGCCAGATTTGCATCAGAAGGCAAAGCATTTGAAGCATAGGTGTGTAAACTAGGACATGCAGAAGCATAATGTCCATTTGTTCAACATAACTGACAATAAGGAGGATGAAAACCACCACGCCCTCTGCCACCATTAAAGCTTCCACAACCACCACCATGTGTGAAGTTGGGATTTCGACCACTTCTAGAAGTGGTTTTACTGGCCCGAGTTTGTTGAGAGAAAAAAGATACAGGTGGTGGGGACGAACCATGAAGGGATTGTAAGAACAATTCATGAATTTCAGCATGAGAGAGAATATCTCGAAAAGAGGGAGATGGCTTGGTAGTACGAATTGCAGTAGAGAAAGTTTCATAGGAGCCACCCAATCCACAAAGAAACCAATGGATTTTATCCATATCTTCAACAAGTTGACCGATTGCAGCTAGCTTCTCCCAAATATTCTTAAACTTTTTTCCATACTCTGAAACAGAAGAAGTATGCTTAGAAAGTTGTCGTAGTAAGTCTCGCAAAGAGTGAATCCGTTCCACAGAAGATTTGTTGTAGGCAGATTCGAGAGAGTTCCAAATAGAGTGAGTTGTGGTAAGGCCAAGAATTTCAGCAGTAGCCTCCTCTGTGAGAGAGGAATTAAGAAGGATGACAAATCGTTGATCAAGTTCGTTCCAAGTAACAAATGCAGGGTTTGTAGCTTGTTTTCCTTCAACAGTGATGGTTTATGAGGGAGAAGGAGTACCATCAATGTGGCTGGTTAGCTTCTGATAAGAAAAAAGAGGTAATATTTGGTTCTTCTACAGAACATAATTGGTAAAGGAAAGTTTAATGGGTATCATGTGGAGGAGGGTATTCATGGAAAAAGATCCATCATCAGAAGTGGACACTACTAGAAAAATAGCCTTTTACGACGCGCAATCAATGAAACGCACTAATACAGGACACACATTTGTACGTGCCCTAAAATTTGATGTCAGTTTTCCAAAATATGAAGAATAGAGAACACATTTTTTTTCTTGCCCTAAAATTAGTGTCTAATAAAAAAACACGGAGGGCACCTTAAATAAAATGTGCATCGTCTCACCATGTCACTTTATAAAGTTTAATGAAACGCGCGTTTCATCCGAGGGGGAAATGAAATCCAAAAATTAAAAAGCCCGCTTGGTTTCCACCAGCTGAAAACCCTAGCTCATCCCCGCTGAAAACCCCCTTTCTTTCTTTCTTTCTTTCTTTCTTCTCTCTCTTGATTCTCAAACCTCCATTCACCTTCCGCCATCTGCTGCTTATTCGACCCTTCCTAGTGTCTCCCACCGTCGTCGACTTCCGATGAAAGACGACCGTTCTCGGTGCTCTGCCTCTACAACGATCGACAATCTCACCTGATCACCTTGCCTCACCTTGTCGGCTACATCACCTTGCCAACAACCTTACCTTGTCGGCAACCTCAGGTCTAGTGATCTCATGCTCGCTTCCCCTTATAGGAGACCTAAGCCCGTTACATTGATCCATCCTCCCAAACTTTGGAAGAACTAGCACTTTTCTCTGGACTACACAAAATCTTCTTAAAAATCAGACCAGAAAATCCAACAAATCGATTTCAAGTACCGCGCTTCATAGATGTGTCTACTTCTCAGCTTCTAGGGCTCGAATCCATATTTCCCCATGTCAACACTCCATCATCTGTTTACTTAGCTTACTAAAATCATCAATCTCGTAGATTTCAGTTACAAACACCCTTCAATATGACGTCTTCAATCGATTTGGTAAAGGGTAGGCTTTTAAATGGATCGAATGAGTTCAATCATTGATGGAGGTTATTCATGTCATCTACAGGTAAGCAATCCCTTGATCTGACCTAATTGTTTTAAGATTCATATTTTTTTTCAATTGCGATCGTATTTGAAATGATCAAATAGCCTTCAATATAATTGTATTTGGAGGTCGATCACATTTAGTTACAATTGTGATTCATATCCTATTTTTTTTATAGTTAAGTAGTAATTGGTCAAATATGGGGACTTATTCAGAGTTAAATTGGCAGAAATCACAATGACACATTGTTTAACCTCTGTGATTTTTGGATTCTTATCGTGCTAAAAAGGGAGATATACGAATTAGGGCTAGTTTAATATGTACGATATAATTATGAGAATCCGGTAAAAACATTTGTTTGATTTTGCACATATTTATGTAAAATGTTTAACTATTAGTCATAAAGATCATACACCCTGCAACATCTGGCGTTTAAATTTCTTGTTTATTGATTTGGTTGTCAATAATTTAAATTTGTTCTCACATGTTTTCACAAAGGTGCTATAAAAGATGAATCTGAAGATAATGGAAACCTTTCTGATGGGGGTGTTGAATCGAACCAGGTAATTTCAAAGTTCTTCTTTTGTATCATGGAACCCTAGCTTTATGGCCACAGTTAATGAGCCTAAATGTGTGTATATATATATATATATATATATGTCTAAGTATTATCCACTTTTATTATACCAGATTGAAGGCAATTCATCTGGAAAGAGTGTATGCAACTGGTATTACTTTTGATCGAATGTGCCATGTTTCGTATTAACTGAAAAAAATGATTATCATATCATCATTTCTATGTATTAATCATTGATTGCTCTAGGTGGGATTCCTAAGGGCATTTCAAGCCAAACTTTGATAAGGGAAATGAACCTTTTGTTGTCACAATGCAACCTCCAAACGTGACTGGTTCATTGCACATGAGACATGCTATGTTTGTAACTCTTGAGGTTTGGTAAATGTTTACTAACAACATAGATTCACATAAAAACTTTGTAAAATTCATCATTTTTTCTTTATTCAATGTGTAAATAAACAAACCATTCATATTTTCAATTGTGTTCCAGGTATTATGATCAGATACAACAGGATGAAGGGCAGACCTACACTGTAGCTCCCTGGAACTGATCATGCTGGCATTGCAACTCAGGTTTGAGCTTTTCCACAAATGGATTTCTGATTATTGTATTAGTCTACTTAGTTAATATATTATATATCTAACAGATATTGTTTTCAGTTGGTTGTTGAAAGAATGTTGGCATCTGAATGAATTAAGATGGTTGAATCAGGTAGATAAGACTTCAGATAAGGCGACTTGGTGCTTCTTGTGATTGGACCAAAGAACATTTCACACTTGATGAACAACTAAGTCTTAAGATGATATTCTATCACATTTTAAACTTAATAATCTCAGAAACTATGTTTAAATAGTTAATTATAAATGTTCATAAAAATTCATGATGTAGGAGCTTGAGTCAGTGGAAGGACAAGATCAGGTGATAGAGATGTATATGAATGAGGAAGCCAGTGAACTTAAGAAAGAAATAGAAGAACTAGAGCATTTATTGCAGGATGAAGAGAAATGTAGAGCTGCAATCGCGAAGCTGAACCCCAACAATAACAGGAGCCACGAAAGAATATTGGAAATTAGTAATAGGGTTATGAACACTAGTAGGAGGGCAGGCAGTTTGTGCTTGGTAAGAGTTCTGTCCACTTTATGGATCCATTTCTTGACCATGAGTTTGATTGGGGTGAACCATTGAGGGTTGATAAGTACGGGAAGTATCGTAATAGAATGAGCACAAAGGACGTGAAGGTCAAATTCACAATCAGAACATGAATAGGATAACCCATTTCCGACGAGTTTACAGGTATCACAGTAAAAGGAGATGGACCGATTGTGTTAGTTTTAGCTCCAACTTGTGAACTTGCTGTTCAAATACAACAAGAAGCAACTAAATTTGGCACAACTTCAAAGATTAAGAATACTTGCATTTATGGTGGGGTTCCAAAGGTTCCTTAAGTTCGTGATTTACAAAAAGGAAGGTGGTGATAAGCTCAAAGATGAATTTACTACTATGGATCGGGTATATCCTTATGGTTCTTCAACGTATTCAACATTTTCCAGCATTATATCTATCTATCTATCTTTGTTATGCCTAAAGCACATGTTTCATCATCATTTTTTAAAAATATTTTCTTTCAGGTGTTCATATTATCATTGCTACACCTGGAAGATTGATTGATATGTTGGAGTCTCATCATACAAACTTGAGGAGGGTGACTTACCTTGTGTTGGATGAGGCATATAGGATGCTTGACATGGGTTTTGAACCTCAAATGAAAAAAATTGTTTCACAGGTTTGTGAATTGTGATTAGTAGTTTTTAACCTGCCTTTTATAATAAGAGAAAACTAAAATATATATTTTCAATTTTTCTTATCTTATGGGTTTTTGTATATACATAGATGCAACCAGATTGTTAAACCTTTTATTGGAGTGCTACATGGCCAAAGGAAGTCGAACAACTTGCAAGACAGTTCTTTACAACCCATACAAAGTAACTACTTTTTTTCTATTTTCACCATGTGTTCATATTTAATCCTTTTTTTAGACATTTGAAATTTGGACAAGTGGTGATTAGTTCACAAGACTTAAAAGCTAACCATTCGATTCAGCAACATGTGGATATTGTTACTCAGAATCAAAAGTACAACAAGTAAGCAGGCCGTTTTTATAGATGATTTTTTATTTTCAACTTTTTAGAAGCTTTAAAATAATAAAATTTGATATTTTTTTTCAGATTGGTGAAACTGTTGGATGACATCATGGATGGGAGTAGAACTCTAATTTTTATGGACATGAAGAAAGGGTGTGACCAAATCACCCGCCAGCTCAGAATGGACGGGTGGCCCGCATATCAATCCATGGAGATAAAAGTCAAGCAAAAAGAGATTAGGTTTTATCCGAATTCAAAGCTAGTAAAACTCCAATAATGATAGCTACAGATGTGAAGGATGTGAAATATGTGATAAATTATGATTTCCCGGGTTCCTTCGAAGATTATGTTCATAGGATTGGGAGAACAGGAAGAGTCAGGGCTAAAGGGACAGCATACACTTTCTTTACAGCAACAAATGCTCGGTTTGCTAAGGAACTTATTGCCATACTTCAGGAGGCCGGTCAGAAAGTCAACCCTGATTTAGCGGCAATAGGGCGAGGTGCACCTCCTCCACCCTCAGGTTCGTTTGGCCAGGTTTGATTTTTCCAAAAAATTGATAGATTTGCCCTTTGGTTTTGTTATTGAAGCTTTGATGTTTGATTTATATAGGTCATGGGGGTTTTCGTGACAGATTAGAAGGGTGTGACAGATGTATTGTAGGATAAGTTGGATAAGGAACTAAAGTTTACAGGTATCAAAGTCCTTGGATGCTTTTTTTTAAAGATTTTTAATTTTTTTAAGAATTTAGAATTTGTTTCCTTCCTTTGAACTTTCTTCTGCAGCTTATTCCATGTGGCGGTGGACAATACTGAGACAACTTGTAATGTTGATGATAGCCAAAGCTGAACCCCAACACAGTGAGGAACATTTCCTTTTTCAATAATTGAATTGGTATAAAATATAAATATAAATTATATTTATGTACAGAATGTATATCGAATAGGTACTTTGATGGAACTTGTTCGTGTTCTTGCTCTATCATTTTCAAATGATGGAAAATGTGTTAAGGTATGCTTATCATGGTTCTGATGGAATTGAAATCGGAGATTCCATTCCATGGCATGTTTGATTGGCAAATGGATGGAATTAAATTATATCAAATTCCATGTTTGATGGGATTCACCATTCAATTCTATTCTTCCTTTTTTGTTAAATTCCATTCCATTTCCTGCCAATTAAAGGCATGACAGATTATGATTATTCCAATTCTAACTACTAAACTATAAATGTCAAATTCAGTTATTGTATATACAACAAAAAATATTCGAATATAAATAAAAGTTTAAAATTTATTTAGGTTTTTGTTCAAGGATCCATGGGAGAAGGAGCACTTGCAGGAATGCCATTACAGCTAGCTTGCAGGAACAAGAAAGATTTTGGAGTACATGGACTAGGGTAATGATGGAGCCATGGGGACCTTTATAAACATTGGTGCTATAGGTACTCTTTTGCAAAATTAATAATGTTAGATTTCTTTATTGTATTGCATTTTAGATCCCAAATTGGTATGGCATTTTGGATCCCCTTCAAAGGTGTCTCAAGGTAACATAACATATCTATTTATTGTTGGAGTCTTTATATATTAAGTACATGCAATCAGAATATCGACACCTTTATATGTAGTGTGTATTTAAATAGTGATTTTAATGATCTTGTAGGGCCTAGATGCATTCACTGCAGCTATTGTTGTGATTATTTCCTTCTCTTTCATTCCTGCTTCATTAGTTGTTGCTATTATGAAGGTAGGCCACTCTCCGGTTGTATTTTCCACATAATTGACAAGGAGATGTTGTATCTATTCAGACTAAGCTTAGAGCAATGGTTGCAAGAGATGAGTTCAAAAGAAGAAGAAACAAGGCTACAACTATAGTTGAGGTACTATGGATGAATTATGTTTGTAAGGTATTTAAGAAAATGATTAGAAACAAGGGTGAATTTGTACAGATTAGTTAGCAAAGGGGCAATGGATTGTGTTTTTTGTATCTAATTCATTTGTAAATTTTTGTTACAATTTCTATTGATTTGTTTTATCTTTCCATGGAATGATTATTTGTATGACATTAAATTTATGCATTGGATTCTATTTTTTGTATATGATATTTTATTTTCTATTATGAAACATTAAATACAAATTTAATTTGAAAATAAGTAAATCTATAAAGAATATTTTTTTTAAATATTTAAAATTATGATACACAAAAATGTGTGTCATCTTCATTTATGACATGGCCTTTCTTGACAGGGGCTTTCTTGATACACATTGCGTGTCATTAACACGTGCGTCGTAAGGTTACGATACGCGAATGCGTGTCATCTTCCTTTATGACAGGGCCTTCCTTGATACGCATTGCGTGTCGTAAACGTGCGTCGTAAATGCGCGTCGTCTATAGACGACGCGCAAAAGCGTATCGTCTCTCTTTATGATAGGGCCTTCCTTGACGCGCATTTGCGCGTCGTCTGAGCCGTTTACGACGCGCAATGAGTGTCGTAAAAGGCTGTTTTTCTAGTAGTGGTACGGAGCCATGAGAAGGAGCCATGATCGGATTAGGGTTTAGAAAAGAAAAGGGAGTGAAGATGAGGAGAAGGCTGATACGATATAAGATTTATTAAATCAACCACACAAAGGACGTGTGACATGTATTGCTTTTATAATAAGAGAATACAACAAATATTCCTATATCTATGGAATAGGATAAATACAAGATTATTGTAAACAACTACATACATAATTGTCTATTATCTAATACTCTCTCTCTCTCTCAATGTGTGTGTGTGTGTGTATATATATATATACACAAACACACATAACATTTTTACTACACCATTCTTATCTTTCTCTCAATATATTCTAAAATCAATTCATTTTTCAACTAGGGAGAAAGACTCAAGCACCCCTCCAACAAACACAAACATAACCACTTCGATGGGGTTTGTGCACTAAGAGAGTTAGATGAACCTCCTCAACATTCAAAACACAACAGAAATATCATTTCAAGAAATCTATTTTAATTTCACCTCACCCTCCAATGCAATTCCCTACATTGGCCTACATGCAACAAAACTGAAACCTACAAAAAAAAAATTAAAATATGTTTGCTTCCATGCCACAAACAACCATCATCCACACAATCATCGCAAGATAGGGTTGCTGAAATGCAACTAGGAGGTAGTAGGAGAGGAGGAGGGAAAAGGAAAAAGAAAGGGAAAACGATTGTGCAAACTGAAGAACCTCTACTATGGTGGACACCTGAGGGGGAGTATTGCTTGAGTGTATGTGTAACATCCCAAAAATCAAGTAGAATTTTTGTTTTTCAAAACCAAACCAAAAACCATAAATGTTTACAAAACTTAGTTTCCAAAATTCAACATAAAAATCAGAGTATCCCAAAATCAAATCTCATAAAATCCGAAGGATGTGCACGATAAATTTTTCACCTTGCCTTGATCATATAAAGTACCTGAAACATAACACTTCAACTGTAAGCCAAATCTTAGTGAGTTCCCCCAAAATATCACACAAAACCAAACAAATACACATATTCCATGTTGGGTACGCAGTCTCCCGAATGGATTATCCTGGACCACAATCGCCCGATTAGATTGCCTTTCTAGCCCACAATCTCCCGATTGGATTGCAACACTAGCCCACAATCTCCCGACTGGATTGCCACTCTGGCCCACAATCTCCTGATTAGATTGTCACTGGCCTACAATCTCCAGATTCGTTTGTTAGGGTTTGTTGGCTGACAACACAAAGCGGTACAACCTCAACCCAGCTATACTAGGTCGACATATGTAGCAGATAAACATACAGCTAGTAAGTACAAGTAATCATACAAATCTACCAATCTGACATATAATCTACATGGCACATCATCCTATATGCCAGGATACATAACACAAAATAGTGGGATGGCATTGGTTCCTTCGGCCCCCGAGTACAATGAGAAGAAACTCACCTCACAGTTTGAAATGTAGTTGAACAGATCACAGCTCCAACCGCTAACTCTATCGGTCAACTATACAACAAGCATGACCTTAACTCAATCTACCACCCAAAATGCCACTAAGTCAAACTTGGTCAAATTCCTCGTCAGGGTCAAAAGTCAAAAAGTCAAAAAGTGAAAGAAGGTCAACATTAACCGAGTACGCCTCATGTACTCAATCACTACGTTGGGCGTAGTCGTGTTCCATGCAACTATCAGGGTATCTGCCTATTATGCCCAATGTACCACTTGGTATGCCCTTTATCTTTCGTTTGAGTCCTTACATCCTCATTAAGTGCTTATTCCATACAAACCTCATATCCACAACTCAGATATAGATCCAAAGCATCATTATAAGTTATAAATTTCCACATTTATGACTTTCCACGGATAGAAGGAGTCCATACACCAAAACCCTAACTTAATACACAAACCAAAGTATCATAACTCTAGCACAGAGGGAATATAAGAACCAAGATCACATTTTTATGGCTCCTAGCACCTAGAAACATCTGAAAGGATAACTCATTTGGATTAGAGTAAGCCATACTTATGGATAACAATATTATGGTACAAAAAAGCTCATAAAACACAAAACTAGTTAGATCTAGCAAATGCATCATTAAGGTTCAAGCTTTATAGCTCCTGGAGTTCAGAAAAGCAATGTGGGCTCTAGATCTACAAGCTTGATCTTCAAAGAAGTTTGGACTTCTTTTTCATCCAAAATCAGCCAAAACACATAAAAAAAGGCTTAATATTTTCTCTAGGGGCTAGGGTTTAAATTTGGAGGCTCAAGAGGATGGAGGATGATCTTAGGGAGGACCCCAAGGGGTTAGAATACTTAAATAGGGCTCAAAACCATGAAAATAGTGTTTTTACATTGCGATGATACTCCCAACGTGCCTTAAGTTATGCCCAGCGTAACACCCTAAAAACACGACTCAGTCAGCCTAGTACGCCCAATGTACTCCTAGAGTACGCCCAGTGTACTGCCAGACTCTCTTTTTCTAGATTAATTTCAAACATTCATAACTTCTTCGTTCCAAATGCGTTTTCGATGATCTATATATCCACGGAATGGTATCGACGAGCACTGCAATTATATCTTGATACCGATGACTAAAAACATCTTAAATTAAAATCCCTAATTTATTCAAGAAGCCCAAAACATAACCCTTCCCATTTTACCCCTCGACTTCCATTGAACAATAAGAGGTTTAAATCACTTATCCAACAACATACCCCTCCATTAAAGTCTAAAATACATTCCATTAAAGCCCACGGCCTCCGTTAACCTGTTAATTGTTGACAGTACTAAACTAAGAACTTATCAAAAAAGGATGTTACAATTCTCCCCCACTTAAACTGAATTTTGTTCTCGAAATCTGTCTTGGTTAAGATCCCTAAATCAACGTCAACTGTTTCCGTAAGCTCTCTCTAAGCATATCGACACCAAGGCATGTTATAAAGAAACTTGAGAGGTCACTTGGGAACCCATAGGTTGTAACTAACAACCAAATAACTAGAAAATGTCTGACCATAAACTTTCCCTCTCTCCTTAACTCTATGACCCCACTTCTAGAGGGAAGCACTCGAACCAGGAACTCTCAAAACTACCACTACAAACCAAATATGATAATATATATTCCCCGAAACTAGGTACCAAGCCTCAGTCATACCTACTCCAGTCTATTAACAAGGAACACAACCCAACCAAGCATAAAGAATACTCAAAACATCCTGATTGTGAATTCACCAAATTCCAAATTTTAGAAATTATGCCCGAAAACCTTATATACACTTTTGACTCCTAGACAAACTATCACCTACCTACTACTCCTATGAATATAAAGATGTTCAATCCAAGAATCTCACATTGTATCCAAATCCCTCATTCGATTAGGTGTATCTCCACCTGACAAAACACTTGATACTATTCCAACGAACTTCATGACTTGAGGTTTTAGAACAGATACTCGACATTCGTAACCAAGCTTCAAATAGGTGGCCCGCAAGCAAACGAGGTTCATAATGAAAATGTTCAGCAAGAGACTTCTGATGCACAAATAATAATACTCCCACAAACTCTTACTTTCCACATGATCCAAACAGGTTGGTCACCCGACTCCCAATCAATGCACTATCACTTGAAAATGCCAATAAGACTAACAATCTGAGACTTAAGAGCCTCAATCAATTGAATATCGGGTCTCTCCAATATGATTCATTCCGCCACTAGTTCACGATACATCGTGACACCATCCAAACATCAAGATGAGAAGCTCACGGTTCCTCACAGTTCTTTCTAATTCTTGATCCTAGCCATGAAGTTTCTCGATCTGCTTCCAGGGAGTCTAAAGACATAAGGACATCATCCTATCGATCTAAAAGAATCTAAAAGTAACACCCATGATTTCATACCAAGTACACCCAAAAAAAAAATCACTTAACATTTAAAAGTTGACAATCGTTTTGGTGTACATTAGTACTCTAGAATACAAATAGTTATCACAAGGATCATATCGGCCTAAAGTACATGTTCGAGCCAGGCGTCACAATTATAAACATGCAAAACAAATCATCATAACAACATAAGCCTCATGGCTTAGGGAATAACAGCTACTAAAACATAATTAGATATATCATATAAATCATATTATAACTTAGTTCTCACTTAGTTAACAATTAATTTATGTAATTAAGGGTATTATCATAACCATCCTCTCCGTGATAATCAAATTCTTTTTCAGAATCTACTCCTAAATTAACAATCTATCTTTATGTCATTATTCTATTCTTCAATCGTTATCATTTCCCTAATCAATGATCTCTCCATTTCCTTCTCTCTCAATCACGTTCTCTCTTTCTCTCTTTCTTTCTTTCT